CAATCTTTTGTACCTCAGTTAATAGCAACTCTACCCTTCCTCTTTTTTTTTTTTCCTCTACCCTTCCTCTTGCTCAGGCAAATGGGTCATTAAAATCATCGTGGACTCTTACCTGGTTGTCAGCCTTGCATATAATCCATACACATATCCTGTTGGCTTGACCTTCAAATTACTTTCACAATTTGACTCACTTCCACCACTACCACCTTGTCCATCTCTCATCTCAGCAATTACTGCCCTTCTAATTGGTCTTCCTGTGTCAGCCCTTGCTCCACAAAAGCCCATCCTATACAGCAGCCAGAGTGGTCCTTTTCAAAATGTAATTCAGGTGATCATACTTCTCTGCTTGAAATCCTTCTATGGTTCTCAGAGTAAAAACTAATGGCCCGTAAGGCCCTTCCTGACCTGTTCCATTGCTCTCATTCACTCTACTGTAGTCGCCCCAGCCTCCTCTTCATGTCTTGCACATGCCAGGGATGCTCTCACCTTGGGGTATCTGTATTCACTTTCCTGTTGTCTGGAATGCTCTTCTACACTCTACCTGCCATCACGTAATTCATTCCTTCTCTTTCAAGTCCTTGTTCAAATGCCAGCTTCTCAATGGGGCCCATCCTGACCACCTTGGTTAATTCACAATCTCTTCCCCAGAACTCCCAATCTCCTTTGCTTAAACTCTATTTTTCCTATGATACTTATCTCCTAGCATTCTATATAATGTACTCATGACTCGTGCTTATTATTGTCTCCCTCCGCTAAAATGTAAGCTACATAAGAGCAGCAATTTTGATCTGGATGGCTCACTAATGTAGCTCTAGCATCTAGAACAGTTCCTGCTGCAGAGTGGGTGCTCAATACATTTTCCTGAATAAGTGGACTTTCATAAGCATCTCTGTTCTCGCTACAAATTATTTCTCACTGCTGTTAAGTTCTTTTGGATTTACAATAAATCTATCATTCTAAAATTTGATTAAAGTATTTTTCTTCTCCCCGCCCCCTTCTCCCTGGTAAGAGAGCTGCCCTCATTGTTGTCTGACTCAATCAAAATGACAGTGCAGTATAAAGGAGAACAGGAGAATTCCTGAAGTCTTTTTATCTTCCTACAACAGAGAATCGAAAAGGTAGTTCAAAGAATTTGGTGGAAAAGCTAAACTATTCTCACATTCAAGGAAAGACTCTCTCAACAACTGCTGTCAGTCGAAATGACATGTAAAATAAATCACACATCATCTACTTGTTATACATTTCCATCTTCTTTTCTCAGTAATGACAAAATATCAAAATTATGTAATACTGATTAAAACTAGATGGCATTATATAACATAAACACATGAGAAGCACAATAGTATACTACTCCATAAATTGTTAATGTCTATAAACAAAGGGCAAATAAATGGGAAAAATAAAATTCTTTTGATTAAGATTCATTTATCATTGGATGATAACTAAAATTATTTTTTATCATATTTATCATTAATAATCAATTATGAATAACATTTGCAATCTTATATGTAATTTTTAATTGCTTCATAAAAGAGAACTTACTTCAGGTTATATGTATCGTAGTCAATGGAAGACCTTGGCACTGCAGGGATCATATAAAGAAATCCAAGATGTTCATTTTCACGTATTATTTTAAGAATTTGCAAGGGATTACATACGTTGGCTTTAATGACATCGTCTCGGTCATGGAAAATGTACTTAGGGTAAATTGAGAAACCAGTCCCATAAAGGTTTTGTTTTCCAATTCTGGTACGTGGAAGTTTAGGAGGAGAGGGAGAGAATATCTCAGCAGAGGGCCATCGGATCTAAATAAAGCCAATTAAAAAAAAATTAGTTTGTGCAAAAAAAAAAAAAGCCACAAAATATTAACCTCAAGGACCAATTACTATACTTACTATACTTCCTGAGATGTCCAGAGCTCAAAAGCAAGCATTTTGGGACTAAAAACTTTCAAACAATTTGAAGTGTTTATTCTTTTCAAGGCAGTGATATTCTTTCTCAGTACTCTCTAACCAGATGTCCATTCTCTTCCCAAAGAAACAGCCCAGTGTCAGCTCCTATTGCCTTTTCCTCTCCTGCAACTCAATGTCGATTACATCAAAATACTACCAGCTTTCTGGTGTTCATGGAAACCCACCACTCTCCTTGCTCAGATGCTTTGCATCTATGCTGACTGTGGCTTCCCCTCTCCACGCAACCTCCTCTCCTTGTTTTCACAGCCTGATGCTTTTCAATGAGTGAAATCTTAGACAGCTATAATTATAATTCATAATAAACTATAGTTTTTTGTGCATGTGAGGGGTGGTTACATTGAGTACTGGGAATCATTATGTAATAGCCTTGGAGAAGCATACACGTTATTAACTCATAACTGCCTATTCTGGACACCACTGCTTCTCACACTTAAATGTGCATGTGAAATACCTGGGTGTCCTGCTAAAATGAAGATGCTGTCAGTCTGAGGTGAAGCCTGAGATTCTGCATTTCTACTGGCTCCCGGGAGATGTGGATGCTGCTGGCCCATGGACCACACTGAAGCATCAAGGCTAAGTCCACACCATGTTCACACATGTGAGTTTTGTTCTATTCCCTGGGTTCCAATGTTGGAATTCTCAATGCCACTCACACTCCTTTATTCTTCTTCCACAAACTTTGGGGCAGTATCACCCACATCCCCTCCTCCTATGGAGGAAGTTGGTAACCCTGCTTGAGAAAATTTGACACTAACTCCAACAGTCATCACCTTGTCTCTCTGACAGTACAGAGGTAACCGGCTTTTAGATAAAATAATCACCATTGCAGACCAGCTTTGTTGAATAATTGATGTAAATGCATAAATGATATCTTTATTGCCT